TAACCTGTTCAAAAGGTTTCTGCCTGTTGACCCGTTCGTGATCAGCAGATCAGCAATACGTACAGTATATCCCACAAGCCTCATTTGCTTAACTGCCTGGCTCCTTCTGGCTTAGAGCCCTTGAAAAAGATGACCTCTAGTATGGATCAGTTAGTCTAACCAATTAAGAGCACTGAAAACCAGAAGCCTTGGGTCATCCAGGATAGCAACCACTCCCACATGTAGACACAGTGTTGCAGGCTTTGTCTCCCGTCTCTGTGCTCGTTGGTGATGTCGTTTGCGGCGTGCCGCATCCCCGTCGCCAGTGGTCTCGGAAACCGCAGAGACGGGAGTTGTCCTGCCAGTGGCACTGCACTGACACTCCAGCTCTCCCTCCCCGCGCCGTCTCCCGTTCTGGCCCTCCTGCGGTGCTGGCCTGTGGCGGCCTGCCCCCCCCGCCTGTCTGTGTCCGTGTGGGCAGTGTGTCTGTCTCTCCGGCTCTTCTCTCGCTGCCCGCTGACTCTTCGTTTCTCCCTCTGTCGCCCGCTCCCCGCAGGTATGAACGGGAAGAGCATCCTCAGCGCCATAGGACGCCACACGCCCGACCAGGGCACGGTAATGGCATCTGCTTCCGGGGCGACGACCTCCCCCTCCTCTTCCCGCTCCTCGTCCCAGCGCTCGGGGGCAGGCGGCAGTACCCCCGGTGGCCAGCAGAGGTCGCCCTGCTCTCAGCAGAAGCCAGTGGGGGGGGGCCTGGGGGCCGCTCTCAGTGCTCTGGCCCCCGCCAAGACCCCCTCGGCTCCCCTCCTTGCGCCGCAGTCCCCAGGTCAGGTGTCGCCCCCGAATCGATCATGCATGCACAGCCCTGCAAACCACGGGGGTGGGGGGGCTATTGTTATTTCTGCAGAGGGCTTTGATGGAGACTGCTCTCACATTTCCTGCACTCTGCTGTGTCTAGGAGTGTGCACTGCGTTTTAAGAGGCTGAGGGATTTACCACATATAAGAAGCCAATTACTCTGCAAAGGAAGGAATGGAAGTAAAGGTGTATTCCACGCTGCAAAGAGAAAAAAAAAGAGCCGAAACGTTGTGTTTCCTTTCTTCTCTTTTCAGCATGGAATAAACCTTTACCCGTTCCTTTGCAGCCTACGCATGCTGACGCAACTACCTGCTGGGACAGTTATTCTGCACATTAGGCATTATCATATCAACAATTTCGTTTCGCTGTCTATAACCTCTCCTATAAACTGAGAGACTTTATAAATCGAATCGTCATGTACCTCCTCCAGTGTAAAGCTCACAGCGCAGTCACCTCTCCACGCTGAGCCTGCATGGTGTGTCTCGGTGCAGGAGGGGCAGCTGGACAGCCTAGCTCCTCTGTGCCACTCAGGCACGCTCACCGAGTCCTCGGTGTGGGATCCTTGAGAGCTTCCGCGCGCGGCCGAGCACCGCCAGCGCCCGCGCTCTGGGAATGTCGC